AATAATGTTCTTCTATGAGTAGGTCATGGATATAATAATTATATCCATCAGTTACTTCCAAATTCAAATTTTCTCATCAGAAAAGACAACATGCTGCCATTGGGTAGACCACGTCATATTCGCCCGGCCAAAATTAATGCGTATTTCTTTTCTCAGCATATCGACTGGTGTCTTTTTTTTTACATTCTGTTTCTTTAAGTAATTAACTTTCTTAATTGCTCTTTAGACCGTTGATAAGCTCGTCCTAACACTGATTTTAACCCTAATCTTGGTGGTCGATTCGTGGGAATTCGAAGCTTCTCGAACTAATGCTCTTTTATTTCCTTCAGAAATCACTTGATTATTGCCGCTTATATAGTTTTTTCCATAGTTTTCCCTATTTGTAAGAAAATTGCCACTTAGTTTTCTGTTTTTTCCTGATTTTTCAGTAATTTTATGGTTGCATAGTCTAGATTCAAAGTATGCCTCAATCTTTGATTTTCAACCAAAGATAAAACTGTTTCTTTACCCATACTATAAATATATTGAATACTTTGAGCTTCACAAAAAATTTGGTGAGTGTAATTGCCAAAATAAGCAAGATAATTACAATTGCATTTGGGGGCGCTAATCTGATGACGCAAAATAAGTGCACACATTTTTTGCGAAAATAGAGAAGGATAGAAAATAAAACATAACGGGTTTTCACTCGCGCTTTTTTTTGGTATGAGAGACATCTCATATGATGATAATGAAATAAAAAAAAAACCAAGAAGTTGTGTGCAATAGGCAAAGAGAAAAACGTAAAAGAAAATGAGTGTAAGGGGGGGCGCTAACCTGATGACGCGAAGTGTATATATAGTGAGTGCGCAATGCTTACCCCACTGAGTGGAACCACTCATTGCTTCTTCAGATTGTTGCTTTAAATATTTAAATTGAATACGAAATGCTCGCTTTGTATTCACTTCTCGTTCGATTCGTTCGCTGCACTCAACATTTATGGACAATTAGCAGGCTTTTATTATCGCAATCAAAACAAGTTGTCTGCGAGGAATGAAGAGAACAAAAAAACAATACATTTAATTGTGAAAATTAGCGCCGGAAAGCAAAACCAATATAGGATGGAAATGCGCTCAACTGCGTTTGGCGAATTGTTATGCATTTCGCTTTTAGTGCAGAATTTCAGCATTTGCCATGTCGCTTTGTCGTCGCACTCTTTGGGAGAGTGTTGCACTTTAATCGCATTAAATATTGTCGCACTAACACAAAGACGCACTGAAGACCACCCGCACCCACCCGCCCACACACACACACACACACAGTGGGAAAACTTTGGCACAATTGCCTTTGCACGCTTTTCATTCGTATCTGTGCAAAGTAATGCGGTGGCAAATATTTTAGTTTTCGTTTTCGTTTTAGTTTGAGTTTTTCATATTTTCATTTTATTTAAGGCGGCCAGCGGAAAATGTGGAAAGCAAGCCAAGCAAAAGGAAAATCAATAGGTATTTTCTACGGAAACTGTTATGGCCAGCAATGATATTCCATGCAAATTGGCTTGTTAATAGGGCCAACTTTTCCATTTTATTCATCTTCTTCTTAGTTTTAGTTTTAGTTTTATTTCAATCGAATCGATTATAGCTTGACAAACTTTTACAGATGTTTTTTCACTTCTGTCCAGAGTTCACATGTGTTTTCAGCTGCTCTGTGTTTTTCCCATTTTTTTTTTTTTTTTTTTTTTTTTCACTCCAACTATTAAAGCACATAAAATATAAAGAACGCTTCACTGATTTTGGGGTCAATTAAACGTTTTTCGTTTTATATTTGACCACTGAATGCCGAGCACAAAAACCATTCACATATATACTACATATATGTATGTATGTATATGTATGTGTGTGTATATACTATTTGATTTTCTCAACTCGGTTTTTTGTTATTTGAGAATGGACAATCAATTTGTGTTCCGCCTACGAACGGGTGCAGAACTGCAACTGCAACCTAATGTGGCACGGCACTGACAATTGTTAACAAACCGAGTCGCGTTGCAATTATGTTGTATTGAGCTTTGTTTCTGTGTCTTTTTTTGTATTTTTTATTTTATTTTATTTTTTCCGCTGAGCTCTCGAGTGCTATTTCATCAGCCACCCTCGTAGTGTTTTGCACCTGTTTTATTTGTTTTGTTTTGGCCAACTTGGCTTGGGCCAACAGCGAGCGTGCGTTGTTATGGTTATGCGCTCAACCTCGGAGGCTCACTCGTTTGAATATTTGAGTGAAAAGCTATTCATAATTACAAAAATCCACATTCTGTGACGTGCTCGAGCTGTGCTAACCCCTTTCCTGTTGGTCTTGTGGCCTGCCGGCTAAAGTTTGCAGTTCAAACATTGGTCATCACAATTAGGCGGCTGATTGAAGCAGGTTTTGAGTTACACGCACGCACAGCGACATGACGAGGGGGTTGAACATGGCCTCAAACTCTCTCCCTCTCTCTCTACTACAATAATAATATAATATATAAGGCTGCTAGTTACCAAATGGAAATTTCTATAAACTGTCAATTAAAAAAATAAAAAAAAAAAGTTTTTAGGAACAGCCAATAGATAGAAAAAAAATCGTTTATTTTCTAAAAGGAGAATTAAAGAAATAATTTAAATTAATCTATTTATTATTTGTGATTTTTTTTATAAAGAAAGAAATTAAAAAAAAAAATGAATTAATTTAATAGTTGTTAAGAAAAGGAACTTTTATTTTATTTTTATTTTATTTAATTTTTTTTAAATTTTTTTTTTATTTTATTTATTTTTTATTTTATTTATTTTTTATTTATTTTTTTCTTGAAAAGACTATCAATTTAGCTAATTAATTATTATTATTATCGACGGCTAAGGCTCCTGAAGTGGGGCTATTAAGTCAGTTAAGAATACAGCTTTCTTAACATTCCTCTAAGAAAACATTTTACTAAGATAAAATTCAATTTTCTACATAATGAAAGTAGTTTTCTCGCTATTCTTCTTCTTGCTTAACTCTTTGTATATTAATTTAAATGAAAAATCTGTTTATCTTCATTACTGCAGCATTTTCTCTGTTTTGCTATCTGTTTGCTGTTTTCCTTTGCATTCATTTGCATTCTGAATAAAACATAATTTATATATGTGCTGGAGCAGAAAAACAGCACAGTTGATTATATTTATATATTCCACGATTTTCCTATAAACGGCTCAGTGAATGAAGCGCACAAACAGCGCTTTAATGTTTCAATATAAATAGTTTGTCCCGCATGGGCCAAGTCCTTGACAAGTGTCCATGGCAATATGGGCAGCAGAGCGTGCTAAAATGCCCCAACGGGACATTGACATTTCTGGGCGCGCATTTCCGGCTTAGATTGTTTTGCATAACACTTTTAATTAATGTCAACACGAAAATGCAGCTGCAGTCAAGGCGATTCACTTGGCCCCGAGGCCCCAATATCATTGCATAAGTATAATTTGTTTGCTATTACTCTGACCCTCCGTCCGTCCGTCCGTCCGTTCGTCTGTCCGTCTGACCGTCCTTCTGGCTGCATGTCAAAGAGCGACTTTGGGCGCTTTAATTACAGTTGAGCGAGCCAAACAGTTGGCAGTATTTCGACCAAATGTTCAATTTGTTTATGCAATTTCCAGCAGAGAATTGCACTATGTAACCGAGCTGATAGGGAAAATACAAACGGTACCTCAGCCGTTAGTCGTTAGCCGTTAGTCGTTCACTTTACAGTTAGTCATTCATTCACGCGACCACGACCACGTCCATATATCAACTGTTTTGGCTGCAGCACTCGCTGCTGCACGGCAGAGCCGTAAGCCCATAAAAATGCAAGAGCTCAGTGCAGGGGGTGGAGCAGCGGCCCAGCGTTTGGTAGGCATTTATGCATACACTCGCTCACTCATACACACGCACCCACATATACACGCACATACACCCTCATTTACTCATTCACTCAGTCAGTCACTCACTCAGGCCTTCATTGGGCTTGTAATTATGCCTAGTTTTGGTGTCAGCTCTCTCTCACTCGTTCTCACTCTCTCTCTCTCTTTCTCTTTGCGCTTAGCCGTACATTCTTTGCAGTCAATATATTATGCAGTTATTAGTGACACCAAAGGGCATTACGTACCAGGTAGCCGGACAGCATATATGGGTCAGTTGTAAGCACCTACTAAGCGGGCAGCGGAAATACGCTTTGAAGCTGCCTGTCAAAAGAGAGAAACACATGTCAAATATTGTTTAAGCATGGGATGAATAATACCTTCCTTAAGTTTATTTTTAAACATACTGGAAATTGTGAAAATTAAGAAATAATAAAGTTAATTTATGCTACATTCGAAATATTTATTGCTAGAAATATGTAAAACTAGTTAATAGGAAAATAAACTATATTTGCATATTACTTATCCCATCTTAGATTCCAAATATTTTTGACATTGTGAAACTATTATTACTATTTTCCTGAATATTGATTTATATTTATTGATACATATTTTTTTTTCTTCTTTTTTATACCCAATTTTCTTAAAATAGTGTTGCTTTCTTATAGAGCTTAAAACACAAGAGTGATTACTGTTTTTTAAAACAAATTGAAGTGTGGTAATAACTAATGCAAAAAGAGGAAGAAGACTGGAATATATGGACGACTAATTGAAATGGCTATTATTATATTAAATTAGTATAAGGTGTCACGTAAAGATAATTGAAGATGAAGAGATCAAATGCTGATTAATTAGTAAATCAGACGTAATAAAAACGAGATCTTTTAATGGATAGAATATGATTAAGTACTTGATCTATTTAGTGAGTTTTCAAGCTGCTTATGGATGGTTGTGTATTATCAATAGGAGGAGCGTATATACGAAAGAGTATCGTAATGTTTTTCACGTATTTCATGCTGAGAATCCTATGTCTTACCTTGCAAAGGGGTACATCCCCTAGCAATACCACATCAAATTCTGCCTTTGTAAAGATCTATAAAAATAGCAAAGAATATCGACATTTCCTTTACTTGGTTTTTTGTATCATATCATTGCATCATACAGCAATCATTTATTGATTTATGTATTTTCCTGAGGCAATAAAACAAAGTCACGCATTGAACAAATTTCTTTCAGTAAAAAATATCCAAACGTTTTTTCGTGATCCCCACCTTCCCACTGCTTAGCACTTGACATTTAAAATTTTGTGCGATCCAAAAAAAAGTAAACCACAACGCAAGATGATCTCAGGAAAATTCAGTTGGATTGTTTAGTCTTGCTCGTCTTTTGGCATTCGTTCACTGTTTGTGAGTATGTGTGTGTATTGATGTGTGTGTGTGTGTGGATGTTTGCCTAGATTACTGACCATCGCCGGCACCTTTGTTCGAGTGTTGGGCTGGGAGCTTAGCCCTGGATGACTGGAGTGGCGCACGGGCTGTGGCGCTGCCAGAGAATTTCACCTCGCTGTCGTCATCACTGTACGAGGACATTTCATCAGAGCTGTATTGGAAATTGTCAATCTCAATCTCGTCCATGCTGTCGACCGGAGTGTCCATCTCGTCGACAGCATCAGCTGGAGTGGCATTGATTGGGGCGTGTGGCTTTGGCTTGGCGTTGCTGCAAGTCTTGTCGTGTGGCAAATTGGTGGAGCCGGAGCTTATCTTCTCGCTGAGATCCATGCTGCAGATGCCGGTCTGTGAGTTGTATTTCGGCTGCTCCTCCTTCATATCGCCCAGCTGCATCTGTGTGCAGAAGCGCTGTATTTGCCCCAACACTTCGCGCACACCCAGCTCCGAGGACTTGACATTGACGCTCTGATCCGATGACGACTGGTGATCCTCCGTCGCCTGCTGGTGTGAGGACTTCGAAGTGCTGCGACATGCACAATTATTCTGCTCCTTGACGCAATCGATTGGTGCTTTCTTCAGACTAGCATAGCCCAGCTTCCTGCCCGTCAGCTGCTTGCCGGCCTTCATGTTGAAGGTGGCCGCCTGCTTGGCAACTCTCGTGGTCGTCATCGCTGTCGCCTTCGCATTGGACATCGCTGGAGCCGGGGCCACTTTAGCAGACAGCTGATTGCCAGCAGTCAGTGTCTGCTGCTGGTAGAACATCTTGTCATATTCAGACTTCATGCACAGATACCGAAAGTGGCGTGTGTTCTCCTCTCCGTAGCGGATTACCTCTGCGTAAGGAAGCATAAGGATGCGTGACCCCGAAAGCGAAAGCAATAAACTCGAATAACCTACTGTTGGTAACCTCCGTTTGCAGTTTGCCCAAATTCTCATTGGTCATCTTGAGCTCGTTCGAGAAGCGTTCCATTTTGTTAGCTAGGTCACGGAAATTCCGCGAAATTACATCCGAAATGGTTGTCTGAAAGCGAAATGGATCTATCAGGATCAGTTGGCTGCAAGGCCAGCAGCCTGTGGATACTTACGCCAACGGCCTTTCTCACGGTCTGGCGTATGAGCTCGAAGAACTCCTCGGGATCCTCATCCTTCTCCTCCTCCTCCTCGGTGACAACGGTCCTCTGCATGCCGCCGCGCTGGCGCATATGCGCCGGACCACGTTGTTGCTGCTGTTGCTGTTGTTGGTGTTGCTGCTGCTGCTGATGTTGTTGCTGAAGTAATTGTTGCTGCTGGAGTTGCAGATGATGCTGCTGCTGGTGCTTCATATTCTGATGCGAGTGATGATGCATTTGCTGCATGTTCGTGTGGATGCTATTGTTGCTCGGCAAGTGCTGCTGTTGGTGTAGCTGGTGCTGTAGGGGATGTAGGGGATGTGGGGGATGCTGTGGGTGCTGCTGATTTGGATTCTGATGCGAATGGCCATGGGATCGGCGGCCATTCATCGAGTTGGCATTGAGCATTTGATCCTTGTCCGACAGTTCCGTGGGATTGGGATCCATCTCACAGTCTCTCGGCCCATAGGCCGTGCGCTGTGTCATCTGCAGTGGCATCGCCTTGCCATACGGATGCCCGTGCCCATGTGGACGAGGATGGCAGTTGGCCTTGCTCTCTGCGGGCACAAAGTGCACCTTCGCCGGCTGGCCGGTCAGCGGCTGCCGAGCGCTAGGCTTGCTCCGCCGGTTCGACAGCGATCCGTAGCTGGCCATCTGGGTGGACGCCTGCTGGAGCTGCACCGGCAGCTGACCCGACTTGGCCGGATGGGTCATCACGGCACTGGGCGCTGCGCGCATATTCGTGGCGTTCAGTGGCACATTCGTAGTGATGTAATAATCGTTGGCAGTCACGTAGCTGCGCTGGGTGCGAGCGTCCCCCTGGCGCGAGGAGTTCACGCGCATGGCGGCCGTCTTGGTCATGCCCGGTTGCGGGATGACCTGCAGTCGGGCCGGCTGCATGGGCTCCAATTTGGTGCCATATACCTCTTCGATGGGCTTACGTCGGTTAGCGCGCACCATCCCTAACAATTTGCCTATAGATCCTTGCAATGGAACTGAAACTTACCGCCAAAAGGTAAAACACAATTTGAAATGCAAAACAAGATCTCCTTGTGGTATTTTCATCAATAATCCCCTTTTTTCTGAGGGGGTCTCCTTAATACACAAAGTTCTTGTTACTTGTAAACTGAAATGTTGATAAATGTATAAAAATTTTTATTGTTTTGCATTTGTATATATCCAACTGACTGCTAAGGTTAAATGATTTGACATATTCAAAGGGAACGAATTTTGATGCTCCACTCAGAGCTAGCTGAGATTCGAAAGAACAATATTCGAATATTTATTTCAAATTAATTGAAACTGAAATGAAATCTGAATACCATAAATATTGAAGAAAATTAAATAGATATTGTAAATTCATCAAATCAAGCATCAGTTTATTTCGAGTATTCCAATTAAGTCGAACACTTTGGATCTCTGTGCTTTCGTCAATTTTTGCTGGCTCATTTGCAAAGTCAATGACATGAGTCGAAGTTCAATGTTTGCTGTCAACCATTTTGCCGGAAATGTTTGTTTGATTTTACCAAATCAAAATGCTAATGAGCTCAGCTGCTTTGGTGCTTGGCGCTTGGTGCTTCGCGTTTGGCGCTGATTGCGATGTGTAAAGCGGTTGGCTTGCTCGGTTGAGTCCCATGGATTGGCGTAGATAAATATGCGCGGCATACCAATATGTGCAAGAAATTTATCAGATTGTTTACCTTTGAACTCTGCTCGGCAGCTGGTTGTATCGGGCGTTGGGGCTCGTCAGCTGCTGGACGCATCTGGAATTTTTAATGTTTGCCTAAGTGGCGGTACACTTTCGACATGATAGCTTTAAGGCAGCCAAATTCGAAACATCATAGAATGCCTGCGGATACAGACGCTCACGATTTTGGTGGTAACGTAATTGGGTCAGCTGACTGTTGTTGTGTTGTTGTGCTAGTTGCTGCCTTGAGTTGCTATGAAATCAAAACCATTCCACATGCGGCATCATTTTGATTCTTTGCTCATTATGCAAATTGCGCATACGACGTGTTCGCTGCTGGGCAACTGCTGGGCGCCGCACTATCACGCATTGCTGTCTCTGTGTGTGTGTGTGTGTGTGTCTGCGTCAGTGTCTGTGCATATAATATAGTTGGCAAGCTGTTGCATGCGATGCGCAAGGACAAGACATACGCACATGCAGAGTAAGGCTTACAGTCACTCTTAAAAGAATACGCACGTGCAATAAATATAAATGAATTCGAATCATATATATATAAGTAACTTTTGATTGAGCTATATTTTACAATGATCTGAAGAAAGTTTTGTGTGCTAACTATGTGTTTCATTGGTTAACATACTTATTGCTCACACTGTACCCACATCTGTATAAGTATGGAGTCGAGTCGTGTCAAGCATTGCCAACAACAGTCAACATTTTGATGACTTATGATTTTCAACGACTGTCTGGTGTGCACCACTGGAGCTGCCAGTGGTTCGAACGCCTTGCTGCAGCTGACCACAATAGCCGCTGTCTGCCGGAGATGCGGTGCTCCGTTGCCTTGATGTGCAATTGTTCAGTTCCACTGCAACACTTTGTGCCTCATCATCGCACTCATAAGCGTGCACTCTATAGCTTTATTTGCATATGTCGGTTGCAGCTGTGCTGAGGCTAAGCATGTGTGCAGACATTATCCTTGTCATGCCAAATGCTCTACTTATTATAATCAGCTTCAGCTTCAGCTTCAGTTCCCTAAATGAGGACTGCTGATTACATTCGCCGGCTTTGTGGGCAAATTAACTGTTGCGCCCGGGAGTGGGACAGCTGTGTCAGGAGTGACCCGCACGCGCTGGCATTTAAATAGATATTATTCATAAACAGTCATAAATAACGCATACTTAATTCTGTGGGACCGAGAGCGCATTAGACAGGCTTAAGGCACCAAAACTCTCATGATGCATACTTAACATTCCAAGTTTACACCATAAATCCAACAGAATGCGTACAAAACACAAGTCCAGCCAGTAATTTGTCGCGTGTTAAGTCTTAAGCAAAGAAAATAAATAAGTACATGGCGAATATTTGTACGAATATATATATGAATATATTTGTATATATAAATTCACTCTATGAGCTGCCCAATTAGCCGGTGGAGACTCATGTGAGTCTCACACAGATGCATAAATTTATCAGATGTCGTCAAGATCAACATATATATCATCGTGCAACACCCACGCACTCCGACGTCTTACAAACATACATGTATGTTGTTTCTTATTTCTGTTTATACTTATCTTGAAATCATGCTGTGGGGTCTATTATTCTTGATGAAATTTGTAATTATATGAATATGAATAAATAAAAAAATAAGAATAAAGAATAAAAAAATTAAAATAAAATAAAAATACAAAATAAAAAAATACTAATAAATAGATATTTCAATAAATAAGAGCTATTTTCAAATAATTATTAATTATGCCGTCAGGCATTACCGACCGCAGAATACTTATTCACATTGTAGATACATCCGACATAGCTTCCTGGTGTAGTGTGATCAAGCCGAGTGTACACACATTCCAAATTTGAACTGTCTAGCACTTCAATTATTCTGGTCTTTGAGATACTAAAAAATACATTTTACAATTCGAAGATATATAAGAGTATATAGTTTTAGTATATAATTTTGTATATAATATAGAAGCATATAACCAATAAACTCTTATTTCTTACGTGAATGAATGTAAAAATACGCATTTAATAAATTTACATAAAAATAGCAAAGTAAATTCTTTCTTTAAAACATTTATGCAATTGTAATTAACATATTTTCTTAAGTTGCTGTCGAGGGTATGACAAAGCTGACGCCAGATATATTTATATTTAGTGTATATATTTTACAATTTCTTCAGTATATAATCGCTTCACGTGTGTGGCCAGAAGAAGTGTATAAATTTACTCGCTCGTATTTGTTTAATTTAAGCGCTCTTTATTGTTGTTGCTCGACTGTTGCTTAAAGCATTCCCCACTTGACAGGCGAACATGACGAGTGTCGGCATTCATTGCCGTCGTCTCATTTCGCTGTGCTTTATGACTAAATGTGCGTAATAAATAAATACAACAATAATAAATTTACCAACTGAATATTGGCAAAAGTAAAATAAAAAAAAAAAAAAAACAGAAAAAAGCGAACACTTTGATTATTTATGTGTTGCTGCCAAAGTTTTCGAATTGAGTCAAAATGCGATATTCATAAACGCAGCTGTTGCCATTTTGTATGCAATAACAAATTGCTTTGTTCAACTCTGATTGTTGACGATTATTTGTATTTTGATGGCTTTTTGTCACGCATTCACAATTTAAAGCAGAATCAAGAGCAGCTGGTGAGTTCTGCTCGCACTGCATATCACTAAATAAGTGGGAATATGTTTTGCCTTTAAGATTTTTGTCCACTGATCTTTTGCCTGGCTGATTTGCATGGATCGCCTGAAATGAAATTGAATGCGTTGGTATTTGGGTCAACATATTTGCGTCTCTCAAATCAATTAAACGCATAAATATAAATATGAGTAAAAACAAAAACATGACGGACTACGAAATGTTTCACAAAAACACGAACCAAACGAAATGTTTACATTTTAATTTTACGATCATTTCAAACATAAAACATTTATTTCAATTTTTTAGATGTGTTTTTCCAATTAGCAGATCTATAATTAGAAATCATAGAAAAAAGTTTATGTTAGAAGTCGAAATAAATATTAATTTTAGCTCTTTCAATTGTTTAGTGTTTCAATTGTGTGTATTAGCCACAATTTGATAAGAAAGCTTTCGCTCGAGCATCGTGCTGCAATGTTGCTATGCAAAAAGCTTACGCATGTTGCTGGGCAGCATTTGTGTTGCTCAGCAAATGTTGCTGGTGGCCACGTTGACAACTCAATTAAATAGTTGAATTATTACAAATGTTGACTACAAAGTACTTAAGGCACTTAACATGTCAACGCGCATCCTCATTATCAAGTGCAGTGGCAGCCACTGACGTGCAACATTCAAGTGCAGCGGCAACACGTTAGCGCGCAACATGTGCGAAAACCAGTCGGGCAACATAAACAAAAAACAGCTGTTCAGATTACTGGCTCAGTTTCGGGCGCCGGCAAAGCTTTCTGAAGTGAAATCAAGCAGCAGCGCACAGCGACGTCAACGCTGCACAGTGGACTCACAACAGTGAAACTAGAATTATATCATTTTTTCATATACACTACAATAAAATAAAATTACAAAAAATTTTAATAAGATTATATATTATATACGTACATAAATACTAAGCTAAAATTTTAAAAGAAAGATAATTAATTAATATTAATATTAAACAATATTAGTATTTTACAAATTTATTAATTTAAAATATTTAAAAATTAGTCATTTTATAAATTTAGAATTCATAAATAATTTAATCAACTCATATTTGTTGTATGCATATTTACTGAAATAAAATTTAAAAAATTAGTAACTATATTTTAAAGCTTAATATAAATTAAACTAACAATTTTTAATAAATTGCAAACAATTTTAAATCAAATATTAATACTAAATTTTAAAAAATCATTATTTTTTTTAAACAATTTAATTATTTGAAAATATATATAGTATTTAATAAGAATATTTATATTATACATTATTTATAATAGGATATATCATTTTTCGACACAACATATATAGAATTAAGACTGTAAACAACACATAATAAACTAAACAATTTCATAGACAAAGAGAAAAGGCATATAATTCACTTGAACGTAATTTTCTAGCTTTCTTCTGCGTGGCCACTGTGCTTTGACGGCAGCAGCAGCAACATCAGCAGCAGCAGCAGAAGCAGTAACGGCAACAGCAAACAGGAAAATCCGCACGACGATGCCACACAGCAGTTCAGTTCAATGCGAAATTGTGAATGAGCCAGACGGCGAATAGCTTACGTCCCGAAGTGCCAAGACTCTTGTGTGCGGAATATCGCGAAGTATTATTCGTAATAGGCACAAATGAAATGTGGACGTGTTTTATGTTTAAGACTTAACTGGAGCCACAACCTTCGGCAAGCAAGCCGAAAGAAACGGCCAAGTGTAGTTGGCAATTGACAATTGGCAGCGGAAGGATATTGGCTAAAAGCTAATTGACCGCAACAAGATCAAGATTTATGCGCGCGTGCGATTCGTGAAACGTGGCCAAAAAAAAAATAAAAATAAGACG